CCGACTGTGGTGGAGCCCAGCCGTGAGCTTTTGGGGTGAAAGACCGCGAATCTGAGTCCTGTGGGGCTGTGGTGTCCCTGCGAGGACTCGTCCCTTCGCAGCCCCGACCTCCTGCACCCCAAATAATGTGGTTTTTTTTGGTGGTGTGGGCAATAAATAGCTCGTTCCCGCATCCCAGGCAGCGCGGGGCGGTGGATGGAGCGGCGCTGGGTTCTGCTTTTCGCCGCCCGTGTGCTCCGGGGACCTCAGGAGATGTGTCTCGTTCCCCTCCCCTGTTGCCGTCCCCCCTCTCCGCTGCGGCACGGCGCGGTGGAAGCGCGGCAGCACCGTCTCCTCGGCCTTGGGCAAGCTCCGAGGCTGCCGTACAAGCCCCAAACTGCTCCGTGTGCCCCTTTGGCTTCGGATAACTCCTATCCGCGGCGGCATCGGGGGTTCAAATAAGTACAAAAAGCCGATCCAGCGGTGGGTGACCGGAGAGAGCTCCGGTACCGGCAAAAGTGGCCCAAATTGGGGCGAGGGTGCCGGCGGAGGGAGAGCCGGTTTGCTGTGCCGGTCGCTGTCACCGCTGGCGTGCTCTCCGGTCCCCCCTCGAAGCCCCGGAGCTTCGGCAGCTTTTTATTTTGTAAATTATAAATCCTCGGGGGAGGCTGGGAGCGGGAGAGAGAGAGAAGGGGGGACACAAAACATCACCGCTCCTCCAAAACGCCCCAAATCTGTCCTTTTTTTTTTTTCTTTTTTCTCCGCAGAGGCCATTAACTGTTTGATCAGAGCCATCGAGATCTACACAGACATGGTAAAGCCCTTAAACTCTCCGCTCGGAGCGGACACGGTCAGCCCGGGCCGCGCTCTCCTCTGCGGGAGGGAGGGTGGTGAGGCCGAAGGCTCTCCGTGCCCCTCTCTGAGCTCGGAGAAGCTGTTTGGGCATCTCAGCTCGGTGGTTTTATCCATCTCCAGGGCTGGGACCAGTAAGAACTGGAGGCAAACGCCTGCCGGGCAGGGGCCCAAGGCTTTTGCCGAGCGTTGGGAATGGTTGGAGCGGTTCTCCGGCTCCTTTTGGGATGGGAACGCTCATCCCAGCGCCGACCCGCGTCCTCCAACCTCCTTTTTTCCACTTTCCAGGGTCGGTTCACCATCGCCGCGAAACACCACATATCCATAGCGGAAATCTATGAGACGGAGCTGGTGGATATCGAAAAGGTAAAAACACCGGAGGGGGAGAGCGGAGGGGAACGCCGGGGGGGGGCGGCTGCGCCTCCTCCCCCTTCCCTAAACGCCACCCTCCATCCAAGCGGCAATTCGGGAGCGGGTTTTAAAAGGCTTCGTGGCCGGGGAGGGCTTTGCCGGTTCACCGCGGCCCCGAGCCGGGAGCTGTGGGGTTTGGTAGCCTCAGCCGGTGGCTATTTGCCCGCTATTTATTTTTTTTAAAGCCCACCGTGGTGGCTTTAAACCCCAAAAATACCAGCGAGGCTTCTCCGGTGCGTGTCAGCCCCGCACGAACCCATCGGAACGGTCTTGACGCTGCAGCTAACGAAAGGATTTAAAAAAAAAAAACAAAAAAAAACAAAAAACAAAATTAAATTATAAAATAAAGCGAGCTCTGGGCTGGCGTGGGCGGCTGGGAAGCGCGAGAACAGTTTGGTTGGAGCCATCTGAGAAGGAATCGCGGTGGAGGCAGCGAAGCTCTCCGGCTTCCCGGGAGCCTGCGGCGTCCCCGCCGATGCTGTTCCTGCCCCGGTGGCTCCGGATTGTGACTCGACGGGGTGTTTTTTTTGCGTGGTTTTCTCATTCCTGGGGTTTGTTTTAAAGGGAAACGAAGTTTCCGCGTCCTGGGTGGATGTAATTCGCTCTTCCCGGGTTGATTTTTGGGCCGTTTGCCCAGCGAGACGCTCGGACGCCGCGGGAATAACCCATCGCTCTTCGGTGGCGTCGCGGGGAATGGGGAGAACCGAAAGGATTTATCCTCGGTGCTCCGGGGAAAAGCCCGGCTTGCTGAGCCGGATTCTCCCGTTGGGGAAAAAAAAAACCAAAAACCCCT